TCCAGCCACTGCAGTGGTTTTGCAGAAATAGAGCTTCTAGGCTTCTCTAGGACTTGGTGGAAACATAATTCACATAGGAGGACAGCAGATACCACAGGGGGACTAAGGCTTGGTGTCCATAAACAGATCCCTTTTTCTGCTTTGGCCTGGTTTTACAGTATAAAGATTACTTCATGCCTGTAGAACTGGTAACTAATTGCTTAGCCCCAGGTTTAAGATTAGGCTTGGATGGACTCCTCTATGACTTCACAAACCTTGCATTTAACTCTACCAAGCTCTCCAAACTTCCTCCTTGCCTTCAGCATGTCCCCAGGAACCCCCGCCGGAGTGTCCCTGCTGTACCAGGGCACCTCCCACTGCCCCACGTCCTCCTGGCCACTGCCAGGCTCCCAGCTGACATAAGAGATGCTCCAGCCAAATTTCAAAACCACAGCTGACCCTTGGCATCGGGTAGGGTGAGTCCTTACGTGCACTGCTGCGGTCCCCAGGGGAGAGGGGAAGGCTTGAGGAGGAGTGGGGGAGGCAAAAGGGGATTGCTCAGCCCTGTCAGCATCTCGTTAGCGTCAGGGTGTGTGGGCGATGCTGGGAGGGAGCTGCCTGTCCAGCTGTCTGTCTGTCTGTCTGCCGAGAGGGCAGCCCGGTGCCCAGCTCTGGCTGCGCGGCACAGCCAGCCTGCATCCCCATGCCTGGAGCAGGCAGCACCCCGCTGCCAGTCCCCACGGGGCATGGGTGCTGAGCATCTGCTTCAAAAATCCTCTGCCACGAGAGGAATCAGTTTGCCTTGGCAACCAGGGTTTGATGGAGCTCTCTGCTACTCCCTCCCCTCAGCACCGAGCCTCGGCTGCAGCTTAAGCCTCTTCTGCAGCTTCTCACTAAGTTGATTAATGGAAATAATTGGTCTCTTCATGTATCTGGAGACTGTTGCCGTGACAGCAGTTGTATTTTTGTTTTGTTCCCAGGTCGGGCTTGTTTTTCACATCCCACAGCTTTGAGGTGCTAGTAAATCAGGGCACTGATTCTCCCCCCAGCTCCGAAAGATGCACATCCCTCCAAGGGATGGGGTCTCGGACCAGGATAAGGCACGCTATGCCCCGGCCAGCCCTAGGACATGGCAGGCTGGCATCCTTCTCCCCTCCGTTTTTCACCCCCTCAAGCCAGGCTCGCAGTGGGTGGATGCGGTGCTCTGACTTCTGCACAGCAAGGAGCAGTGAGCCAGAGCCCTCGTGTTCACCCAGCATGGCCACGAGCACCCGTTCCCTTGTCAGCCAGCACCCATGGGCCTCTCTGTCCCTGCAGAGACCCTTTCAAAGCTGTGAGGAGTATGAGGCTATGAGTCCCTTCTCCATTATTTTTGTTGTCTCCCAACTTCTTACTTAGCTGCCTTTATCTGTCAACATATTTTCACATGAACAAAACCAGTGACTGTGTGGAAGATCTGCTAACGCCTGAAGTTGCAAAGCAGATGAACCACAGACCAGTCACTTTAAACCCTTCAGCTGCAAAAGTCCCACGGCTCCTGTATCAGGCATGTCCCAGCAAGACTCCTGTGTTATCCTTGCTTGTGATGTGCAGACATCCCATCACGCCTGGGCCACGGGGTGGATTCCTTTGCGGTGGGAATCCCCTTCAGGCTTGGGTTCCCTGTCTTCCCCCAAATCACTGAGGAAGAAAAGTCCCTGCTGTATTTCACCTCAAAGGCTGGAAACTCCCCAGCAGTCCCACAGCTCTGCTGATGACACCAAGGCACTGACCTCTTGAGTGAGCATCACCTACCCAAACCCCACTGCAATTCCTGGCCTAAGGATGCTCACCTCCAGCACAACCTCCCCAACACCTTGCAGGCTTCCCTGGGAAAGGAGAAGTCAAATAAGCACAGATGAGATGCAGGTGGGGCTGTTTTTTAGCACAGCTGCCCTGGTCACCTATAAAAGGAAGGTGAAGGCACAGTAGGTCTTGATGGGATAGCTCTGTTTCTGGGTGGAGGAAGACCTTTCTACAAGGACACAGGTAAGCAAGAATGGTCTTTATTTTTATGTCCAACAGGAAAAAGAGAAATTTTGTCCAGCTTTTCTTTGTGATCTGAGGATTTGAGCTCTGCTGCTGTGTGAGAGCAGTGTTTGCATGGCTGGGAAGGAGAGCTGAGCTTGGAAGTGGTGTTGTGCAGGCTGTAACTATGCAGTTTGGGCTGCTGCTGGTTGAGGAGACTCTGCTTAGCACAGGGTGCATGAAGCTGAGAGCCACCTGCCTTGGTGTTTCCTCATTCAAGCTTGCACAATCCCGTAGGAACTTGTATCCAGCATGGAAAGAGTCCTTCTGACTCGCTGTGGTGTAAGGGGCTGAGCGAGAAGCTGTGAAACCTCCTGAGGTTCGAGAGCCCTGGCAGCTCCCATCAGTGCCTAAAAATAACCAGGGCCACTCTTCAGAGTGTCAGTGTGGAATGAGGCTGATTAGCAAAGCCTGGCTTAGCTCTGCTCCCTGGAGCTGGCTGCCCTGTCTCTCCACCCCACTGCACAGCAGAAAGCACCAGCAGGACTCCCAGCCCAGGGCAGGGGCAGTGCCTGCCTTGGAACATGGGAGCAGGGGGAAGGTCTGCCTTCGGGAGCTGTGAGCAGGGTTAGGTGGTTGAGATGCTGCTATTGGTGCTTTACACGCAATAGCAAAGGGAAGCGTAGGAGTTAAACGCCGGCTGGCAGCAAGAGGTGTCTGAGCTAAGCCCTTTCAAGTGGCTCCGTGGCTTCTGTTACCCACTGGCATCAGTAACCCCTTTGGCTGTGCTGCCCTGCTGGGACCCCTGCCTGGACAGGGAAAGCTTTACTGGCCTGCACACCCCCTTCTCTGAGTATTTCTGTGATGGCTGGAGAAATTCTGTACATCTGTGCCAGGTGATAGCAGCTTCTGATCCTTTCTGTAGGCAGGGTAAATCTGCCTGCGTAAGCCACCGGGGATGTGACATTCAGACACAAGTTGAAGTGGTGCTCGAGACGTGCCTGTAGTGTTACACTGGGGATGCGCAGTGATCCTGGCAAGTTACAGTCAGAAAAGGGAAAGCTTCTAATGAAATGATTTGCTAACTATTTTTATGGACCACTGAAATGCAGCCGGGGTGTAGAAGGACACAGGGTGTCTCTAGCATACACAGGAAAGGTGCTGCATGCAAGAGACAAACTGGTCTGAGAGACCTGCAGGATGAAAGTCTACATGCACCAAAGAGTCCTGAGATCCTGTGTTGCAAGATCTGCAAACGCTACGGCGGTGGCAGCTCTGTGCAAGGGAAAGCTCAGTGCAGGAACAAGAGAAAGCAGCAGGATGACCTGAGGGCTGAGGAGATGCTCTGAGCGTGGGAGCCATGCGAGACAAACCATGGAAAGGGCTGACTGAGCTAGCAGATCTGCCACTTACGTGAGCCCCACAAAAGGTCAAGCTTTGAGGGTTCCCTGGATCTTGCTGGGCTGCCTCTATGTGCAGAGCCAAACTCATTTGCACAGTTATGTACAGGCAAACCATGTTCCCGTGCAAAGCGTGCGGGAGCCTGTGGGCAGCGTTTGCATGCGACATCCCCGTCGCTGGCAGGGGAGATGGCATGCGGCACCGCTCGCCCTAGGGCTGCCCTTAGCCAGCCTTGGAACGTGGCTTGGTACAAGTGCATGGCTGTGAAATATGGAAAATACAGCAGGAAAGTCATTACAGCAGAGATGTTGATATTTTTTTCCTCTTAGCAGCTTTCTAGTATTTAGTAATTCAGAATACAGAGGGAGGTCAAATGACTTGATGAAACAGGAAAAACATTCCTGTGTATACAACCCTGTGAATCAAAATTATATCTGTCCATAGTGTGACTCCCTACCTGATTTAGTTGACTTTCCTTCTGGACATGACTTCAGACTAGTTTCTTACGCAGCAAGGCAGCAGCTTCTGGGGAAGGAAAAGAAAATAAACGTAAGAAAACATTGTCTGTGCTGTTGTTGGGCAGCACGAAGCTCAGCTGCTTTTTGCACCGCCTGCGACTAGGACGGCAAAGGGGACGTGGGGTCTGGCAGGGCTCTGCCCAGCAGGCGCAGCCGAAGCCCAGCTTGGCGAGCACGGAGACCCCAAGCGAAGGGCCGTGAGGTGGTGGTGTCCGCACGGCACCTTCTTGGGAGGGTTTCTGCTAAGAGATCTGCCTTCTTGAGTCTAAGAGCAAGGGAAGTCCAGCCATGGGCCTGGCTTCACAGAGAAGTTCTCTCTGGTTTTGCTTCTCCTTTTGTTAACCTCGTGTGGGTGTGCTGGGGAGAACTGAAGCCACTTGCGTCTCCTGACCTGCGCTGCGGGGGACCCGGCAGCTGCCTTGCGAGTATAAATGAACATTGGTTTGCAGCTCCACTGCCCTTCAAAGAAGTGAAACTTCCATATCGGCCTCTCTGAGGCAAAAGGGGAAGTTTGATCTGGTACTTTTGGTCGCCTTGCTGGGTCTGTCTCCTGCTCCTTGGGTTTCTTTGCTGTTTGTGCACAGCTGTGCCTTCTCCTGCTGGCCCCAGGCCCTGCTCAAAGACATTTCCTCTGTGGCCTTCCCATCTGTGGGTGCATTGCAGTCTCCTGACATGCAGAGCCCAGCCAACAGGACACTTGCTTATTTTAGCAGCTGTTTCAGTTTTCAGGCTTTTTGGAACATCATGGACTGTTTTTTCACTTTGTCCCAGGGACAGATATCAGCAGAACAGAAAGCAAGAGATGAACCATTTAACCATATAAACAGTAGCTCATTCAGCAATTCATCTGTCTAGCCCATTGGGGTTGAGTACCACTGACTGGAACCATTCCCCATCATTTTCCAAGCTGGGACAGATCTACAGCCTTGCTCTTTATTTTTCTGACCCACTTTTGAAACTCCCCAGTTGCTGGAGCCGACTAATTGCTGGCTCTGGCCCTGCTTCAAGGACAGGGCACTTGCTGCTTCTGTGTGTCAGTTTGCCCATCTGTTAAATGGAGCTATTAATACTCGCTCCCCTCGCTAGATGCTTCAAATATTTGTAAAGCACTTTCAGATCTGCAGATGACAGGATTACAGAAGTGGAAAATACTAATTATGATCAGGACAGTAGCCAAACAAAGATACAGGGATTTAACAATACACTTTTGTTAGTGTTTACCCCATTTACAGAGAAGTGCTTACTGGAAACACTGCAACGGAAAAGAAACGGCATTCTCACAACTCTGGGAATATGCATTGCCCTTTTGGGGCACCAAGCAGGCAAACAAAAGCAGGAAGGAAGAAAGCCAGCTTTGGAAATCCATGAGTCTTTATTTTCCGCCTTTGCCTTCCTGCCTTGCTCTGGCTCATGTGTTACGCAGCCCAAGCAGTCAAACCTCCAGCACTTCAGATGTGTTGCAAAATATCTCGGCGTACATGGCCCTCTGCCAGGAGAAGCTTAAAGCAAACTGGAGCAATGATGCTCTGAAGTAGGGGTTCTCACTGAGCAGCCCTGTTCCTGATGGGATGTGGGGAGCAACCCCCCATTTTATTTCAAAAAAAGCTGATTTTTGGAGACAGAAACTCTTTAGCAACTGATATTGGCTTTCCAACCCTGCAGCCTTGGCTCTGGCTAGGTGTTTGTGCCCATAGCCCTTGCTTGGGGATCTAGAGCCTGCAAATCGGAAGCTGGGCCCCTTGTTCCACCCCCAATGGCTCATCCTCTTCTGGATCACCCAGTTCTGCTGCTCCTGGGGTGATAGGCAGAGCTCTGCAGGTCCCTCTGTGCAAAGGCCAGGCTGTATCCCACACAGGGAGCTTGGGGATTTAAGGCTGGTGAGGTGGATTAGTCCACGCAGTGTGACTAAGGATGGGCTAAAGTAACTCATTAAAGAACACTTTACATCTCCTAATCTAGTCATACAAGCAATCCGGGTACCATGGCTTATTTTGGGACCCCTGTGGAAATGTTCATGGGACAGCTAAATGTCCATACCCCATCAGGAATGAGTTACAAAGGCACCAGCATGATGCACGTGTTAGGGGTTCAGATTCCCTCCGTGTTCATCAGCTGTTACCCAAAAGGAACAAACACACGAAACAAACTTGGCGCTCTCAGCGCTGCTTCAGAATGAACCTATGTTCCAAACAACCCCAGAATGCTTTTTGGCAGAATTCAGCATTATTCTACACAACAGCTGTTATGGTGCTGCTTTTGATCCAGAGAGGAAATCCTTTCTGGTTTCACGCAAGGTGACGGCAGCGGGGAGAAGGCCGTTCTCGTGTCTCTAGGCTCCTGGGTAAGCAGGCTGCAAGCATCGCTGCTCAGAGCGGCAGGGCCGGGCCCCCCCTTGATCCAGAGAGGAAATCCTTTCTGGTTTCACGCAAGGTGACGGCAGCGGGGAGAAGGCCGTTCTCGTGTCTCTAGGCTCCTGGGTAAGCAGGCTGCAAGCATCGCTGCTCAGAGCGGCAGCCCGGGCCTCCCCGAGCAGGCTGCGACTGCCTCACTCAGTGCCCTGTACCCAGCGGCAGCTGCAATCCTGGGCCTCGGAGGGGCAAGAAGACTTGTAATTGTAGTGGAATGTTTTTCATAAGTCACTAATTACTCTGAACCAGGAGGTTTTATAATGCTTAAAATGCAATATCCTCTTAATCATACCCAGGACTGTTTTGTTACCGAGATAACTACCTGATATCCATTAAAATACCTTCTGAGCTCTTTGTTCCAGTGCTATCTCATGGCAACGAGCGCCACAGATTAATTACACTTTGTAGAAACAGTATTTCCAGTAAAGCTGATGACGCTCTGGTGGGGACACGTTTGGCTTATGACATCACTGCAAGTATCAACAGAAGTTGGCATTTTGGTGCTCACTAGGGAGTTCCCAGGGCAGCAGCCTGTGACCAGCAACGTGCCGGCGTGGAGGAGCTGTGCAAAGAGCACCGAGCCTCGCCAGGGCTGTGCTGGAAGGAAGCATTTTGGAACTTGCCGCACAAATGACAAGCGTGTGGTGTAAAGTCTATACCCCCGCAGGCTCAAAGGGAGTGAGAGTTTTGAAATGGGGGACTGGGTGGTTCATAGTCCAACTGCTGTCCTTCCTGCTCGCGCCACAGGTGCTGGCTGAGTCCTGGAGCGATGCCTCGGCCTCTCTAACTGCTGTCATGAGGAGCTGGGGACAAAGTCTGTGCAACAGCTGAACCTTCCCTTCTCACTGGCAGGGGGTGGGAAGCATTGAGAGCAGCTCCCACTATGACTTGGCTTTTTCTAGTCATGGGCTAGAGACGACTAGAAGTGTGGGGATTTTAGGTGTTGGCAAGCCTTGAGAGCAGCTCCCACTATGACTTGGCTTTTTCTAGTCATGGGCTAGAGACGACTAGAAGTGTGGGGATTTTTTCTCTCATCCTGTCTAAGAAATGGATACTGTGTTGGAAAACTTGTTTTCTGGATCAGTCCCTTTATAAAGCTTTGGTGACACTAAGGAAACACTTAGGAGCATGGAGAAACAATTGGATCTTGGCTTTGAATGTGAAAATGGGAGAGAACAGAACAGGGTGGCATAGAAAGGCAGACAAAAAGCTGAGGCTTCTGCTGTTCCTTATGGACTTGCAGATTAATCCTGGATTCTGCCACACACCTGTTTGAGCCCAGGAAAACCATCTGCTTTGTGTGTAGCCCATGTAAAACAGTAATAACGCTGGTGTTTGGTTGCCCAGACAGGCTGGGGGGATTAATGCCCAGCAGCATACTGCAGGAACTGGCTCTGAGATGTGGGACATCAGGAAATCTCAGCAACTTGGAAAATGCTTTCCATTGTTATTTTGGGGAGCAGGGTTGTATGCCTGTGGGTATTCTAAGCGGGCTCAAAAGTGGATGTACCTTTCTTTGGGATAAGAGGATAAGGAAAAAAGCGAAAACCCCACATTCTAGCTCACGGTGTGCCTGTATACCTCGTCAGGATCAGCCACTGAGTACAGAAATACCAGGTGTTTGGAAGATGCATGGCTATGAACATTCTTGGGTTTCCATCTCTCCATGACCCAGCTGCCTACACTGGGAGCCCACGTACTATATTTAATGGTCTCCAGCTCTTTGAGGCACCTGAGTCTGCACTCTCTGGAAAGTATCCCTGACAATGAAGGCATGGGGGACTCGTAGGTCTGTGTTGAGCTTGGTCTGAAGGACTCAATGCCCTGATCTGTGTTTGACATATATTAAGCACTACCGATGCATCCATGTTTGCACGGCTGTTTAACCTGCATCTGCTCTATGAATGAATCCAGGCATTGAGTAACTCTTTGTCCATCCTTCTTTCCCAAACACCATCCCTCATGAGAGCAGAAACATGACAATTTCTCAGTTGGCATGGTGGCCCTTTCCAGCTGAGAGTCTCGGAAGCCAAGGTGTGCCCTGCAGCTACCCAAGCCAGGCATGCCGACCTCGTCACAAGCAAAGAGCCCAGAGCTTGAGGAGCTGCAACCAGCTGATGGCCTCTGCCCTGGCCAAGTCATCCCCACACCGCAAGTCTCCTCTTGCCCTTGCACTGCTGCAGCATCCCTGCTGCAGCTGCCTCTGGCTAATTGGAGCCCAGCATGTCCTCCTCCTAGTTTGTGCCATCAGCCCAGCCACCCTGGGATTGCTTCTGGGTTCATGGCTACATGTGGCTCTTGTTCCATAGGCGTAGTAGGGGGTTCCACTTACCCCTTCCAAGCAAAGGGAAACGTTTCCTAAACACCCCTTTGGGGCCAAGGCATTAGATGCATGTGAAAGCTCACCACCACAGCTCGCTACCAGCTGCTTAGGGGAATCCAGAGGGAGGAGAGAAAGACACACAGACCCGAGGTGAAGGAATTTGCAAAGCCTCCTGAGAACACCACACAGCAGTTCTTTTTTTATCTCAAGCCTTTGCCTTTTGAAACATTTGCTTGGAAAGCTGCATGCCAAGGAGTCTCCGAGCCTACTTCTGCC